CATACATACAGATACACAAATGTACATGCATACATCTATGCATACATACACAAACACATACACCCATGAAGCCATACATACATACGTGCAAGCGTGCACACATACACACATACATGCATGCATACATTCATACGTGAAAGCTTGCATGCATACTGAGACATGCATGCATGTATACATGCATGCATGAATACATGCATGCATGCATGTGTTTATGTAGATGCATGCATGTATGCATGCATACATGCGTACAAATATAAATACATAGATATACACACATACACTCTGACATGCATGCAGACAGACAGACAGACATATATACATGTGTGCATACATCCATACATACCACCACACTCGTACATAGGTGCGCGTGTGCCTACGAATGTGGATGCGCAGATGATAATCCGCCGAGCCCCGCTTGCCAAGGCTGAGAAGGCGTGAGATCATTTGCTGTCCCCCTCCCCCTTCCCCCTCCCCTGAGGCTCCAGATCCTGGAGTAGGGAGGAGGGGGGACAGTTGGGGGAAGAGCTCAAGAGGGCCTCAAGAAGTCAAAAACAGTAATTTCACTCTGGTCACTGCATGATATTGGCGTTCTCGCCGAGTCGGGCGTGTGCAAGCCCACAACGGCTTGAGAAGCCCCCCGGACTGGCCCAAGACGGCCCACGAGTCCTCCAAAGGCCGTCGAGACGGCCCAAGACGGCCCAAGAGGCCCACTAGACAGCAAAAACAGACTCCCAAGTGAGACCCAAGAAGGAACCCGCAAGAACCCCGAGAGCCCTCCCCAGCAAAATGGCCTGCAAGACCCCTAACATTCCCCCGAAAGGCCTACAAGAAGCCCCCAGAGAGCTGCAAAAAGACCCCCAGGGGCTTAAAATAACTCCAAGAAGGCCGCCCCCGAGGCCTCCAAGAGGCACACAAAAAGCCTCGCAACAGACGCAAAGGAAACAATCAGCAGCAACAACCACACGCAGGCAGCACGATGGGAAGTGTGAGCCGTCGTCGAAAGGTCCTTAGCCATTTTGAAGGGAGTGCGGCCTCCCACCACGGAGGCGCAAGGTGGCCTGTGGTAACGCATCCACCGCTTTGCCCAGTCCAAACCAGGCATGTTCTGGATCGAAAAGGTGGCCAGCCACCTCGGCCAACCAGGCATCGCCGCGGCGCTCGTTTCGGCAATCGCCGAACACGAACACGTCAGCCAACACGCCAACGTGCTCGCCACCGGGGCTGGCTCTGCACGACCTCCCAGCCAAAGCAGTCCAAACCGCCAAGCGGCGCCACCAGTTCCACGCCGTCCTCCACGGCGTGGCCGCGAACATCTGCGATCTCCCGGCCTGCACCCCCCTCTTCCACACCGCCGCGCCGATGACACAGAAAGGGAACTCCGTCGAACGGGTCCCCACCCGTCGATCGGAGGTGACCCCCCCGGTCGACCGACCAGCTGCCAAGCATCCACCTGGCTGACCTGGCGGCGGCGCGGGACGAGGCCGAGCTCCGGGACGACGGCGACCACGACCCGTTCGGCTTCGGCGGCTCGCTGGATCACAGCGACGACGGCCCGCACCTCCCGGGTCCCGGTGGGCTGCCACCGAGGGCGGTCGCCAAGATCTCACCTCCCCAAGGGGCCCCGCCGACGACCACGGGGCCGCCGCCCACGACACCACTGTCCCCGGTCACGGAGTGCGCTCGCCACAATCGCGCCTCCCCCATCTAGACCTCCTGTGGCCCACGGGATGGCTGTACCGACAGCCACAGCGGACGGTCGCCAAGACCGTAGCCCCAGCCCCGAGCCCCCAGAGGCCCGCGGGTCGGCCGCCTGGCCAAACAGCTGCCGACGGCTTTCTTGAGCCACGCATCGGTTCGTGCACGGCCCCGGAGGGGTCTGGACTCGCCACGACCTCGACAATGAGGCATACCCTTGGGTTGCGCAGTGACCTTCACAATCCTGACGAGAGGTCGCCCACGCCTCCGGCCCATCGTGGCAGCTCGGCTTTCCAGCAGCCCCCAGAGGCTTCTGGGCCAACCGCGTACGACGGTGCCGAGGTCGATCACCCAAGATCGGACCACTGGCCGATCAGCTGGAACTGCCAACCACTGCGCTGACCCCAGCGCCGCCATCCACAATCTCGAGGCGACCCGGGCCATCCCCGAGGACGACACGTTTGGGCTGTGAACGCATGAAAGACGACCCCCGCCCCCCACATGAAGAACTTTGGACGAATGGGACCGTCCACAGACGCGTGAACTGAAAGCGGAAGCAGCTCGACGGTCAGCCAACGACAACGCCGCGCAATTCAATGCCGCTGGCAGGTCACAGCCCTGACGCAGCGTCAGCCACGCCCTCGGCCCCTCGAGGCAGCACGGTCATCCCAGAGGTCCACGCCCCCTGCCCTTCCGGGAGCCGCGGCGCGGGGGCCCCACGGAGGGCCCCACGCGCACGAGGCCCTCGGCCACGTCGCTGCGTCGTCGTCGTCTTTTTCGTCGCTGTCGTCGTCGTCGTCAACGTCGTCGTCGTCGCCGTCGTCGTCGTCGGCCTCCTCTTTTTCGCTGACCACACCAGGGTCTTCCGCCCACGCACTCCGAAACGCCACTGCGTGCTGAACGCAGCGCATCCCCCTCACCCCTGGCAGCCACGCACATGGCCGCATGCGCCCAGGCGAACGCCCTCACCCGGCGCCATCGCACTCTCGAACGCCGATACGACGAGGCGCTCGCCCGGGCCGCGGTCGCCACCGAGACGTTTGCTAGCACCCACGCCGCCGAGGCGGCCGAGATGCGAACGCAGGCCGACCTCACGGCTACCCTCCAGGAGCTCTTCGCTGCTCACGCTTCTGCGTCCAG